TGCCAACTAGTTGATTGAACAGAGCGATGAAAGAAAAACCGTGACATCGAAATTACCAAAAGTTCTTCGAGCGTCCTTGAAAGTCACCAACCAATTTTCATCGAAAGCAATTGAAACCATGGCATTTAAATTTTCATGAAAGTTCCCTGTTGATTTGTAAAACAATTTCATCACACCATGAACAGCTTAAAAAATGAGAGAAATTTTTTGGACCTCTCTAATTCAATGAAAAGAACTTATTGTTGAAAAACAAATTCACAAACTGCACCTCAAGTTCATTCATTTCTCATCAGGAGTTTTCCATTATTCTATTTCTATATTTTTGGCAAAAGATGTGAAACCCCGGGAAAATGGGAAGGTTTTAATCGAGATGAAATTCACGCACGCGCCATTTCCGGCAGAAACTCCTCACATGGCAAAAAAAAAAAGTCAAGGAATCCATTTTTCATTCGGAGGAAATTGGATGAAATGTAATTCCCGATCGATAGAACAATAAAAAGGGGGGTGATAAAAAGTCCATTGATTATTTTCGCTGGTGAGTTTCAAGGTTTTCTCTCATGAGAAACTTTTGACGGAAAATAAAAAAAAGTAAAAGAGAGGGTAAAATCCTTTCTTCTTTCAGCCTGCCGACGTTTGCAAGGGACACGATTGTAACACTTATTTCTTGGAGTAAAAAACAAAATGGCTATCACAGCTTGTATCAAAGCAGCTCACCGTGGATTCGCTCACTGACGAGGAACCACGCGGAGGCGACAAAATTCTCTTTTACCAGCGAGCGAAGCGACGAATTGATCCCAAAAATGACAGTAACCTGGTACACAACACAGGGGACAAGTCGAGCCACCACGAATGAGCAGCTCCACACTTGGCTCCTGGCACAAAAAAAAAACGCCGAGCTTTTTCCCATTAGTCCTCTACATATCACGTGCATTATACGCATGTTACATTCAATGGATGCAACATCGAACAGTAACACACTCAACACATGCTCATTGACACCGAATTGTTCAACGATCCTCGTCATTCCTTCAATTCTTCTCCCTCCGAAAAGATCTCGCAGCTGAGAGTTTTTGTTCGCAAAAAAAAGAGAGAAAAGAAACCAAAGCAATTTTCCCCATACCGAAGCTCGATCCTTTTTCTTGGAGTGACTTTTCTGGTCCACGCCGGTACTTGAAATCAACACGCAGTTGGATTCGTCCATTTATTCTCGGGAGAAACGTGCTTTGGTTCTTGAACTCGGGAAAAGAAATTCTCTCTGCTCCGAGATTTAAAAAAAAAGAGAGAGAGAGAGCGAGAGAATTCCACTCAGCAAATATCACAATATAAAAAAAACACCGCCTCGCTGGTGAAAACCCAGGCGTTCTGGCTTGACCTCACGCCTTAACTGACTGATTGCTCGACTGATTGATTGATCATTTCCGTGTGAGTGAGGGATCCTTGGGGGTTCGATGGCGGTTGCACAGGCAGCTCTATTCGCTGGTAAAGTTCCATCAAAGGATTCTTTGCCCCCGGGCAAAGACATGGGGATTTTTCACCGGAACACGAGACGAGGCAGGATTAAGCAGATCAGCAATGACATTGCCAGCTGAGTCGCGAGGCTCCATTCTTGTCGAATGCCTCTGCTTTGTAGCTCTTCTTTCACGATTTCGTTGCCCGTTCTGTCGTACTTCACATCTGCGAAAATTGGATTATAATTTATGTAAATTACTTTCAATGAAAATTTTTTTCGGTTCGCATCCTTGAAATAATTTTTTTTTTCCCTTTAACAGGGTCTCGCAGGAAACCTTACAAATAAGATCCTTACGAGAAAAACAGTCATTCTAAAAATAATCATTGATTTCTACTGAATGACGTCTGAAAATCTGGTCCATCCGAAGTTCTCATCCATGAAAATTCTGGAAAGGTTTACCATCGCTTGAAAGTATTCGGGCCCAGAAAAACATTGCTTCTATTTCGAATACTTTCTAGAACGCATAAATATAGGTTGACTTTTTATGCATGATACTGCGTCAAACGCTTATTCCTGCATTTAGAAAGTCAAAAACATAAGCGTAACAGGAGTTGATAAATATGCCGTGAACTAGAAATATTAGCATCCAAACGTCGTTAAAGAAGCTTCGCAATGTCCGAAAGAATCTCGATTTTTTTTTCAAATTTAGCAATGCTTGAAGAAAGAATCACTGGAGAGAACCCCTTGAACACGAGGACCGAACCGGATGGGACCAACGACAAAAAATCTTTACACAGAGAAAATTGTTGCAGACAAGACCGACCGTCGTAGAGCTCAATTGTAAATTATTTTGCAAAGGTAGTAGAAAAACAAAAACAAAATCGCACCATTCTTCTTGTTGGTCGCTTTGACGCTGAAGATGGGGTAACCAAAGTTCTTGTTCTTGCTCGTCGTCTCAGTTGTCGCAGACGGTGCAAAAAAGTCGACAGGCGCATTGTCGTCATTGCTGCCGCTGACGGGCGACCTTCCATTGTCGACACCACCGCCGCCACCGCCGGCATCGTCATTGTCAAAGTGCTTCTGACCCGGACGACGCGTCGTCAGCACCCTGGGCGGCCCCCAACGCTGACTGGTCTCGCTGAGTGTCGGACTCCTGGCCAGTTCGTCAGCGAGATGCGTTTTGTTGTCCTCGTGTCGGTGTTGGTGCCGATGCTCTTGACCTTGCTCGACCTGCGTCTGCTGCTGTTGCTGGTCGCCACCTTTGACCCGGTCCACGTTGTTGGAACCCAGGTCAGAGGACGAGAATGTCTCCGAGGGTCCCCGGCTGGCTGACGACTCGGAACTCGTGCCGTTCTTCGCACCTGTGACATTGAAGAAATAATAATAATGCAACAAATTACAACCAGGGTAAGCAATGCAATTCTTCTTTGGTATACACTACTAATTTCTGAAAAATTTCAAGTATTTTTTTTCCTCAATAACCCCACTGGCTTGGATTTGTGCGTCTTGTACGTGAAATTTCAAAAACATCGCGAAGATGAAAAAAACTTTAAATCTGCTTGACGAAGCTTCATATTCAGAGGGAGCTTTCTCCATTTCATAAATTAGAATTTTTTTTTAAAACAGAGGTTCGTGCAAATTAGTGCACTAGTGGACCACGAGGAACTGAAGAATTAGGAAGGGTTTAAATCAAGGCCAAAACTCGCTTTAATTCGGAGCTCCATCGTGGTTAAAAGGATAGTCGGGGAAATTGCGCAAAAATTCCAGGATTATATAGAGAAATCACAGCACACTCTTTGCAGAGAGCCTCACGGAGATAAAACTGGCTCTGAAGTTACTCAAGGTCGCGCGATTTTGGGACTTCCGCGGTACAAAAAATTTGCGCATTAGAAATTTAGAAAAAAAAACATGAAAGCTATGATAAATAAATACCCTACGACATTCTGAGGAGTTATGCAGAGCTGAGCATACTTTACATACAGCACTCGTAGAATATTCGTGATTGATGCGAATTCGCAAGGAAAAAAACCATTCGAAGAATCTTCATGCAAATCGGTCGGTTTTCCGGACGTAATCTTGCAATTAATTCTCATGCATCAAGCTTTAAAACTGTCTAATTTAATTTTCTTTCATCAAGTTTATGATGCATATAAATTATAAATATACAGTACGTACTTGTAGCAAGGGATGCCTCTTCCTTGGAACTCGGTCGTTTAATTTGCACTTGATTTCCATCCTCTTCACCAGGTTTACAGCAAACCTTGAACACGATCCTCATGTTGCTCGTCTTGCAGCGTCCTCCGATTCTGCGGTGCAAGTCCTCCCGGCTAGATGTCGCTATAAAGTCAATCCAAGAAAGTCTTTTAAGTCGAGATTCTCGCGTAGATCTTTTGCATCGATTATTCGTGAATTAATTAAATTAACCTCGTATTCTTCGACAGGAAAAAAAACTGGTCCATCTAAGTTCTAAATTGTGATACCTTTGAAGAAAGTGAGAAATCTATACTGTATTCACAAAATTATAAAAAATAATTATAGAATTATTCTGATTCTGAATAAAAAACAGACGGATTCTGTGTCTTTTTTTCAGAGATTTTCCGCCATCATGTGTGAACATTTTACCTAGAATTGTTCTTATTTTCTGTTTGAGCTTTCTGAAGCGAAAAGATCAGATTATGTGAGGTTTTCTTCATGATGAACTTTTTTTTGCATCTTGAAGTTTAAAAAAAGTTTTATTCAATTTCTTGGATATTTTGTTCCCAATTTTTGATGAACAGGGGAACCAATTCAATACGTTCACATTCAAGCCTACGGCAAAACATGATCCGACATAAGGGGATGTTCCGAAAGACAAGGACAAGGTCCAAGCACAAATTACATCAGCATTTCGGGGCTCCATTGTGCGCACTTGAAATTTCGATTTCATTTGAACTGTAAGTAGTTATGTACTGAAGGTGTAGATAGACCTTAAATAGGATGAAATGAAAAGGTTAACGTTCGTGTGCTACCTCTGTCATGAGTGTCTACTTCATCATTAGGACCGGTCCGGACTTGAGCTCAGGTGGCCCAACACCTCACTTGCTGGCCTTGCACTACCACTTCATCTCGAACTTGTGGGGTTTATCACAGACGGCGATGATCCGCGGGTTTGGGTTCGTGATTCGACACGTGTCGTATTCCTCTTTCGACACCTGGAACCCGTCAAATAAATGTAAAAAAAAGAACCAAGGGATGAAAATACTGCTGAGTGCAAATCGAAAATGTATTCGAGAGGAGCCTCGAAATGAAGCAAGAAACGATTTCTGAAATGTACAGCTGGTTCCTCGGGATGGTTGGGGTCAATGATCTCTTTTCTTCTAGTGGAAATTTTAAATATCTTTATAAAAAGCACAGAGAAAAATTCTAGCACATTCTAAGAAAACCCCTCAACTTTCAACTATCTCTTTTCTTCTAGCGGAAATTTCAAATATCTATACAAGAAGGACTTCAAAAATTCTCGGGACTTTAAAAAAAAACCTCAACTTTCAACGTTATTGAATTTTTAACCCTCGACTACTTTTAAATAATAAATGATGACATCGCAGACATAATTTTCCAAGTCATGAAATCCATCGAATGTTTTATTTTTCATTTTAAAATTAACATTACTTGAAAAAGATTGGAAACCTGCCCCAAACGCCAATTATTCAGATTTCAAATTTGCAGAATTCGAAGGTGTCTGAGTCCAACTTGAGTGACAAGGTTTGGAAGCAAAGATAATCACTCATAGCTTTCGTCTTTTTGTCAGGTACTTCGTGCAGGTTCGTCATCTTGTTGCCAAATAAAATCGTAAATATTGAAAAAGGAAAGGGATGGACATATTTTCCGCTCGAAAATATTCCTGTTTTTGAGCGCGATCTACCAAAGCTAGAAAATTAATCGTGGTTCATCAATCCAGTTAAAGAGCGACTTTCCGTCAACGACGAGACGCTATTTGGTTCTCAATTAATTTTGAGTCCGGGGATGATTAAAATTTGTAATCTCGTAGTACTCAAGAATTTCCGTCTCTCTCAATAACTTATTATTTAATGAGCAAGTCGGAAAACTCGGAGAAAAAAATAACTCTTCCGCGGTATACGTTCGATTAATTTTAGATAACCGAGAAGAAGAGAACGGATGGGGTTAAATTGAAACTCAATTTTCCTGCGCAGTCGTAAATGTGAAGCGAACTTCACTATTACACGAGCTTCGAAAAAAAAACGAGAAAAAGGGTCCGAAAATTCGGTTCAGCAAAACGGAATTCGATTATGAACGACTCAGCGGAAGTAAAATGAGCTTTGCAACTAACGACACGTCATAATAATAAAGCCGAGAGTCCGTCGTTCCAAGTACTCACGTTGTAAATGATGTACTTTTCGGCTTCTTCCTCCGCACATCTTCCACTCATCCTGCCTGTCTGCTCCAAGTGGACCAGTATGAGCATACCTTACAAGGGTGCCAAGTGCAGTTAATACACCAGGCACAACAGCTAAGCCTTAGACGTCTCTTATGTTTTTTTCGAATAACATGAAGAGACGGAACACGTTCATGACTATTTTACTTTAGCGTCAATTACGCGAAAGCGAACTGTTCGGAAATTTCCTGAGAAATGAAAAGCTTGAAGAAAAAAAATAGCGCGCAACTGTTCGTAAAAAATATCCCAGATTTACTGTTTTCGCGCGAGCCTGAGAAGTGAGATATTCTAAAGGCAAACACAAGATTTTTTTTCGTAAAGAAAAATTAAAACCTTTCCAAATAAATTATAAAATTCCACACAAGCGAACCTATTCCATTGTCATCGAAGATAATAATTTTAAAAGCTAATATTTCGCTCGGAATATTCATCAAATTATCTCTTTCACACAAACATAAAGACATAATAAAATTGTCGATGTAAAATATATTTTATTATTTGCATTGAAATATTTGAAACATGAGTTATACAAGATAAAAAAATAAATAAAATGCTTCATTGATGATTTTCATTCACATTCCCTTACACATTTGAACAATCCCTCGAAACAGCACAAGATTTTTTTTAGAGCAAAATGGCTAAATTTCAAGATATTTCCAGGAGACTACCGTTGTTATTTACAGTGTTTATGCCGAAGTCCGCTTTTCCCTAACTTCGAAACATGCGAAATCGAGGATTTATCTTGGAGTATGAGTGAAAATCTTTAACTTTTTGTGTAAACCAATGCAAATAAGTAAAATCTTGATCAATCATTGATCATCATCGTGTCATTTTTTATAGCTTTTCCAAAAGCCTCAGCTTTTACGTTAGAACAGCCAATGCGTCAAATAAAGTATACAGTACTGATCATATCACATACGTTCGAAGAATAACTTTATGATGAAAGGTACCCAAGTATCCTGGAATTGCGGAAGTTGAACAGAGATACGCAGGATTTGCTTGTATCAATAACCCAAGTCCTTGGACAGTTAAACTACAATTATTAATGGACACATAAATTTTTAAAAACCCCCCTGTAAAAGTCCAAGAAGGTAAAATAAGCTGGAGTCTAGATTGGATACGAGTATATCTCCTTTATTGACTGCAAAAACGAGCGTTCTTTCGAATTTCCTGAATTTTGATGTCTATAACCATTCACCTGATGGTAAAAGGTAGAGACAATATATTCCGGGTCATCGATGATTAAAAATTCAGATTGGAGAAAGCAGAAAAATCGCCTACAGCGATGAAACGTGCGCAATTCCTAACGTGCCACATTCAACTTTCTACAGAGTTGATGCACGCGATCAATAAAAATCCCAAAAATGTGAATTCTCCCCAGGGTCATGAAAATTCAAATAGAGANCCAAGTACTCACGTTGTAAATGATGTACTTTTCGGCTTCTTCCTCCGGTGTAGAAGGTGAGTAGGACGGACAGACGAGGTTCACCTGGTCATACTCGTATGGAATGTTCCCACGGTTCACGTCAATTATGTGGTCCGTGTTGTCGATTCGGAATCTGCAGAGAATACAAAAAAAAAACGAATAACATGAAGAGACGGAACACGTTCATGACTATTTTACTTTAGCGTCAATTACGCGAAAGCGAACTGTTAGGAAATTTCTTGCGAAATGAAAATCTTGAAGAAAAAAAAAAAAAAAGCGCGTAACTGTTCGTAAAAAATATCCCAGATTTAATGTTTTCGCGCGAGTCTGAGAAGTGAGATATTCTAAAGGCGAACACAAGACTTTTCTTCGTAAAGAAAAATTTAAAAATTTCCAAACAAATTATAAAATTCCAAACAGACAAACTTTTTCCATTATCCTCGAAGATAATAATTTTAAAAGCTAATATTTCGCTCGGAATATTCGTCAAATTATCTCTCTCGCACAAACCTAAAGACATCATAAAATTGTCGATGTAAAATACATTTTATTGTTTTCATTGAAAATTTTGAAACATGAGTTATACAAGATTAAAGAAAAATAAAACGCTTCATTGATGATTTTCGTGCATATTTTCCTTTACACATTTGAAAATCCCTCGAAACAACACAATACTGTATTTTTTAAAGAGCAAAATGGCTAAATTTCAAGATATTTCCAGGAGACTACCGTTGTTATTTACAGTGTTTATGCTGAAGTCCGACGGCTTTTCCCTAATTTCGAAACATGCGAAATCGAGGATTTATCTTGGAGTATGCGTCAAGATCTTGAACTTTTTGTGTAAACCAATGCAAATGAGTAAAATCTTGATCAATCATTGATCATCATCGTGTCATTTTTTTATAGCTTTTCCAAAAGCCTCAGCTTTTACGTTAGAACAGCCAATGCGTCAAATAAAGTATACAGTACTGATCATATCACATACGTTCGAAGAATAACTTTATGATGAAAGGTACCCAAGTAATTTTTTATAGCTTTTCCAAAAGCCTCAGCTTTTACGTTAGAACAGCCAATGCGTCAAATAAAGTATACAGTACTGATCATATCACATACGTTCGAAGAATAACTTTATGATGAAAGGTACCCAAGTATCCTGGAATTGCGGAAGTTGAACAGAGATACGCAGGATTTGCTTGTATCAATAACCCAAGTCCTTGGACAGTTAAACTACAATTATTAATGGACACATACATTTTTAAAAACCCCCCTGTAAAAGTCCAAGAAGGTAAAATAAGCTGGAGTCTAGATTGGATACGAGTATATCTCCTTTATTGACTGCAAAAACGAGCGTTCTTTCGAATTTCCTGAATAAACTACAGATATTGGTAAGTGGACTACCATTTTCCATCTCTGTTATATAAGGCCCAGTAGCTACTAATTTTTAAGTCTAACCTCTTTCGTCTTTTTAGCGGATGTCGCTACTTTGCACGCGTTAAGTTAACGTGCCACATTCAACTTTCTACAGAGTTGATGCACGCGATCAATAAAAATCCCAAAAATGTGAATTCTCCCCAGGGTCATGAAAATTCAAATAGAGAGTTTTTACGAAAGTTGAAAGAGTGAAACAGAAAAGGGGAAGCTTACGGGTTCACATTGCTTTTAAAGGAAAGTTTCAAGCGTAATTTATTCAGTATTTATACTTCAGCACAGAATCTAGCGAGACAAAAATGATTTCCCCTGAGGATTTATTTTCATCCCTCAAATTTTGGAAGGAATTATGTAATCAATTATTTTTCCGAAGATGTCACTTATTTCCTCCTATTTCTCAGATACCAGCTGTCAATCACAAGTTCAAGCCCCATTATTAGGATGAAACATTTCCGTTTTCAATTCGAACACAATTGTGTCGTCAGGTGCCCCAAAAATAAGGCTCATTCTAGTAAAATTTCATAATTTATAGTTACATGACTCTTTGAAATGAAAACTTGACTGTGTCGCTCGTGCAAAGGGCATCCGGATTGGATTAGGAAAGTTACAAATTATTCGGGCCGCTTTTCCGCAGGCGCAAGAATATAGATTCATCAATTCACCAGCAGCGTTGCCAAGTGAAACTCGCCGGAAATCTCCCATCACCAGAAACCACCGACTTCATTTCATTTCGTTCAATTTTTATTTCACATCTCTTTTTCCAAGAACAAAGTAAAGGAAGGCAAAGGATATGAAGAAAAGCACAGGGAAACAAAAGCACGAAGCCACGAGCGCAGAGAATGCCAACTCGGCTTCAGGAACACCAAAAACCGCAGCGTCACTGCCCGCGTGAAACTACTCCCGAGGCTCGAGAATGCTCATCCCGAGGGCTTCGGACCACAGAACAAAAAGGAAATTACGGAATTACATCCGTGATGACCGGGGAAACAAAGGCCTGAGGAACGGGTCGCGAGAGAGAGAAGCATAAGCAGCCCTGGCCTCAGGGCATGGGTGCATGACGCTGCGAATGTGGGTTCTCCTCTATATACTACTACTCCCTTGCCGCGAAAGAGACAGAATCCTTTCAGCCACTCTGCTTCACGCCACAGGGAACTCTCGACTCCCACAAAGAGCTAGAGCACATCATGAATACAAATATGGCGCAGAAAACTTCATTAAAAGCCGGTACGCCACAAACTCATGAGTGGCGCCTGCATCCCGTGGTGGCGTCCTTTTCCTTTCTTCCGCAATCGTTGACGCTGTCACCGTCATCAACACAAGAGTTGAATAGTTTGACGTTCCTATACGCTTTGCTCACAGTCCATAATATATATTCACAACGGAACCAAACTTACATATTAGTGTCGAAAACTTGCTTGAAACCATCAAAGTCACGTTTCAGTACTGTTCAAATTGGCGCCGATTTTTAAAATCAGATTTACTTTTCCAAGAGTCCCTCGAAACTCCAGTTGGTGCGGCTTCCATTTATTTTCCTCCGGTTTTTTTTTTTCTGCGCCAAAGAAAATGGCCATTGTGACTTGAAAATGGAACACACGAGCAAAGCCATTATTTCAATGAAAGATGGCTAAAATTTGTTTGTGGTTCAGCCGACAGAGTAGAATCTCGTTACAACGAAGCGCTTGGGACTTTAAAAATACAGTAGCTTCCTTGAAAATGAATGAAAATCCCATTATGGCTATTTGGCAGGGAAAAAAACAATTTCTTCGTAGGCATTAATTTCTTATGAAAATATTCGGTGTGGCGAGATGCTACTGTACTGTAAAAAAAAATTATTAAGTGATGAGGTGACGATTTCTGCCTTTCGCCCTGATGCAGAACTGCCCACCTTATTCTTTATGGGATGACGTTTTCGCAGGATACGAATATATTCAGTATACTGCATACAGAGTGTATACAGGGCTTTGTTCGAACACAACAAGACTTGGGAACCTCAAACGAGGGAGTTTAATGAAGTCTACTCCAGGGGATGGAATGCCAACCTCGATGCTATCGCGAGGAGCGATACAAATTAGACGAGACGCGCAATTGGGTCACCGAACGATAAAGATCTCAACCGACGCAGAACAAAATACTACTTGCAGTGGGCAGGAGTTGTTGAACGGTTTTTTTTTTTTTTTTGGCTGGCGTCAAAACACTCGTTTCTGAGAGAAATAAACCTTTCTCTTCCGGGGAATTTATTGCAAGAAAAACATTTGAAATAAAAAGGAAAGGAAATGCTCACACTTTCGAACCATCGGAAATTCACCACCGAAAAATGAACATTTTCTCGATTCGAACTTCCAAAGTTTCTTGCCAAAAAAAAATCTCCACGATAGACACTCAATAAAAACAAAAAACAAAAGTCCACGTAATAAAAGCTGGAGTCACAAATGTGAAATCTTTCTTTTTATATTAGGGCTTAAACTTTCTTCCTGGAATTCCAGACAGGTGTCGGATGTACAGTACCGCATATAACTTCAACAAAGTCAGCTGAATAATAATTATAATACAGTATACTGTAGCAAAGTTTATATATCCACTGGTAATCTCTAAACAATGATTTATTCTAGATTTTACATGGTAACACAATCTAACCAAGCTGAATTAAATACGGAAATTTCGAGCGCCACACACTGTATTAAATCTATAAAAAAATAAAAAATCGGGCAGTCAAGCGTTCAGTTTTTGAAAAAATGAAAGTTGAATACATCAGCTAAATTTTGAATATTTTCCCGACACAAAGGCGCCCTCTTTTTCGCAGGCATCGTAATTCGTAATCATAGGGACTTCATCTCCTCTCGATTGAGTGACAATAAAAAGCCAATAAGTTCCCATTCGAAAAAAAAACTCGATTCAACTAACTGTTCTTCGAGAACCGCGAAAAGCTTTTCACCCGTCAAACACCAAGAGAAAACGCAGTGTCTGGCATTGAAACATCGCAGCAAGGTTGCCATGGGGCTAAACATTTTGAAAACCTGTAGATACAGGTTGAAATCATTCACCATCTTAAATATATCGATACTTGCATTTGCACTCAAACAATATGATGAGTCATGTGCATTCCCTCATCCAAGTCGCGTATGATCAGACAAAGATGAACCAAAGGTAATTGCAACAGGCAAATATCACGGTGAACAAAATTTGTGCTCACCCTAGATGCGATTGAGAAAAATGGAAATGATTGAAATTAAAATCCGTTATTTTAGAAAAGAAATCGCGTTGAACCGAAACACAATTGCATGTTTCATCAGTACGTTGGCACAGTCTCGAAGTGATCAAAATATTAACAGTAGAAGGATTTGAAAATCCTCTTTGTGACAATCTTCCGGATCTGAAATAAATTTTTCAGTTGAAAGTCTTGCGATATTTGATTCTGAATGTATGTGAGAAATGTCAAAAATTATATTGAAGTGCAAGAAGGTACTATTGCAGTTGAATCATACCCCAACAGAAGTAGCAGAACCTTAATTTGAGAATAGTACCGCAGTTCGAGGGATATTGACTCGAAACTTTGGAACTTTTACAGAATTTATTCTAACGTATGGAAACAGCGTTTCAAACCCTTCCTTCCATATTTTCCGTAAGCTTCTTTCAAATGGAATCTGGGGTGACATTACGCGTTATATTTTCCGAAAATCTCGTTTCACTCTTCGCCAAATAAACCGATATTCTTTTGGAAGCTTTGAACAGCGAAGAAAAGTTGGGAAAATTTATGCAAATCATCCCCTGTTGAGTCAGGGTCAATTCAACTTAATTAGAGCCCACAAAAAAAAAGAGATTTACCAGGCATTACAATTTCTAAGTAGATTCCAAGACGAGACACAGATTTCACTTCGATTTATAAATTTTATTTCGATGAACAAAATGATAATGAAAATCATCGTCGCGCGGTTTCTTCAAATACACAGAAGGGTACACCAAAAGCTTGGTTTTTTTTTTTTCTTTTCAAGTACCGTACCTGGCAACGCTGGTTCAACAGAAGATATGCAAATTAGTCTCGACACGGCCTCGAACCCCCGTCAGCACCCGCACCGACGCCGAGGGAACGATTCGATCGTTACGACATGCAGAAGTAACTGTACTGCCTGGGATAAAAAACCCATCCGGATTCGTGGGTGCAGAGACGTCTCAAATGTTCACAACCCGGCGCCACGGGTTCATATTTTCTTAGGAACGATTCGATCGTTACGACATGCAGAAGTAACTGTACTGCCTGGGATAAAAAACCCATCCGGATTCGTGGGTGCAGAGACGTCTCAAATGTTCACAACCCGGCGCCACGGGTTCATATTTTCTTTGTTCAGGATCTGCCAGGGTGTTTTCAAAAGTACAAGGACTTGCATATTGACAATCTAGCACAACGTACAGAAAATGGAAAACGAGGTATTTTGGTTTGAAACCCTAACAGGTCCAAGTTGCTCCAGCCCAAAAATATTTGAATATTTCCAGCTGAGGTGCAGTTTATTGCGCTTCAGACCTCCTAGTCTAATCCTATTAGTAATGCCCTCAAAATTTAATCTGCCTTGAGTTTTTGTGAGAACAAAATTACTTTGAGCTAGGAGAGAAAATCATTACATTTTGAACTTCCGCTGAACTCATCAGTACGAGTTTTTTTTTCCTCTCTGGGCAAGGAAGTGTCAAAATTTCAAAGGTTGAACAGAATTTTGACACCAATGTCATGAAAAGATTCTGTGATGCGCAGGGTATGAAGTGAGCTTAAAGTACAGTACTGTATCAGCAAAATATTACGAAAATTCACCAAAAGAGATTTATTTAGAGCATTTGATGAATAAAAGAATGCTTCATCGTCGATGTCAATCCTGTTTACTGTTTATAAAATTTAAAAGCTAATGGTGGAAAATCATGCTGAAATTAGAAAAGATTTTCGGAGTTGCATAATTTGGGAAGGCTGGAATTTTCGAGGAGCCCATCGCTTTTATTTTTGCCAACGTCGACCACCTCTCACGAAGAACACGTGCCATCGTGAACAGTCTTCGAATTTGGCCCGGGTAATTTTTGCTGCTGCTTTGAAAAAGCCGAC